TTTGTCACCCTATTGGAGAATAGGGAAAGCTGCAACCATAGTCAGGGAGAAAAGTAGTACCTGCAGTTTAACCAAGAAGAAGGGGAAGGTCCCCAGCAGCATGAGGTAGGTCATTGCCAATTGCCCCTGTAAGGTATCTTCACTTTCTAGCTATTACATCGCATTTTTTTTACATTGCATTGCATGGCATAAATCCCCAATTATCAAACCGGCTTCACGTAGCATATAAGTCCAATTTTCAAACCGGCTTTGCGTAGCGTATAAGTCCAATTTTTAAACTGGCTTCACGTAGCATATAAGTCCAATTATCAAAATTTTCCCGCATATCATTTTGCATCCTGCCCCTGAACTACGCTGGTTTGATTCCTTGCAAAGGGATACGTAGGCAGCCTGAGGGCACAACCATTTATTTATCTATATTTTGTTTGTTTGTCCAAGTCTTCGGCCTTTTCAAAAATAGGTCGTCTCTGGGCTTTGACACTCATTCCTGTCACTTCTTGACTTCTGAGTTCTATCAAAGAGGGGCAACTGTAGACACCCCATTTTTGACCGCCTTTAAGACTTGGACGCGACTGATGGTTTTGAAAGGTGTGCAGGGCAAACGTTCAGTTTCTTCGGCAAGGAGAGAGTCAAATCTCAACTTCATACCCCTTTTTTGGACCAAAACAATCTTGATCAAAAGATCTTAGACTTGAAACCCTCTCTTTCAAAACGTTTTGAAAATAAAGTTCCTACGTTGTTCCGACGCTCGCATTTCGTTAAATGTTGTGCTTTTCGGTAAACCGAGCAAGGACAAAGTGGAAATGAATGAAAGAGAGATGAAATCTTTGAAAAATCTTTCAAAAACACCTTACTTAGGGGTTTGGAGTTGAAGAAAAGAAGAGAAGAGGGAAGAAACTAGTTTGGGAGAAGTTCGGCATGAATCCGGGTAGGAGAGAGTCGAACAGCCCTCGCTGAATCAGGCCTATTCATTTGCATACTTGGATTTTAGCTATGAGGCCACAACCATTGGAAATATTACTTCCGGGGCTTCATTTTGCACTCAAGAATCTCCTAAATCCAAGTCCGGACGGAGGAGATATGGTTGGTTGAAGTAGGGCATCACTCCGGTTGGACCAAATCTACGCGGCTTCACCAAAACAGGCATAACTTTTTGCACAAGAGGAATTTTAATGCAAGGTTTGCGCCATTGGAAAGATAACTTCTGGGGCTTCAATTTGGACACCTGGAAGATCACCTTTGGACTTCCCAATCACTAGACAACCACCTTTCTTTCCGGAAGACCCATTTTTTGTCCTGAAAAACCAGAAAAAGTAGCAGGCCGACCATAAAAGGTGGTCGGCCGACCACTTATGCCTAGAAAGCCCAAAATTGATAGATATTCTCCTTTTAGCTGTCTTCCACAACCTCAAGTTGTCCTTAAATGAGATATTTTCGAGCCAACTCTGAGGTTGGCCATATATGAGATATATCTCTCATTTTTCAAAAAGATCTTGGCTAAGCAAGCTTTGGGAGCTTCTCACTCTAAAAAAAATCCCTCTCTCTCTAGAAATTTCAAAGCCAAATCTCTGCCTCTCTCTCATTCTCTTGCCTTTGTGTGCATAGCTAGAGATATACCTCTCCTTTGCCTAGGCACCCTTGATCAAACTCAACTACCATTGGGCTGAGGTTTTTTAAGAATCATTTTGAGCTCCAAAATCTAGTTTTAGCTTATAATTTGGACCCCTTTTGCTGCTGTCTTCTTGAGCTTCAAGGGTAAGACACTAGTTCCCTCTTTTGGTCATTGTTTTGCTCCATGTTTTAGCTCCATTTGCAAGCATTTCTGGACTTTGTTATAAACTGAAAAGTGTCATATTTTGAGCTCCTCTTGAAGTTTGGTTAAGGTCCCATTTCTGTTTGGGGTCATCTTCCCCCTATGCATACTTCATCTCTTCATGATTAAGGTTATGCATTAGAGCACTTGCATTGGCCATGGTTTGGCCTCTTAGCCACTAAAATCTAGTGGATTTTCAGTGGCTTAGATATATTTTTGAGGGCCAAAATTAGAGGGGGGTGACCCCCTCTCTCTTTGTCTTATTTGGTGGTCTTTTGGGCCTTCCAAAGGGACCCTATTTTTCATGCATTGAAGTCTTGTTTCAGGCCTCATTCTGTGAGTTTTAAGGTCTGCCTTGGCGCTGTCCAAGGCCCTTTTGGCCATATTTTATGTCTACAATGCATGTGTAGAGCAATCCCATCCAAGGCCTTTCAAAGGAGCCTTTCTTTGCATGTTTTCTAGACCCATTTCAGAGCCAATTTGGTGAGTTTTAGGGCCGTCATATTTGATTTCCAGAGGTGGTTTTTCCATGCTAAGTATCTATCTTGTACGTGCTTAACAACCCCTTGCAAGGCCCTCCAAAGAAGCCCCTCATTTTTGCATGCATTGGCTGCATTTCAGTGATTATTTGGGCATATTTTGGCATGTTTTATTCATTATTTTTGGCTGGTTTGATGAGTTCTCATTTTCTTCATATACATTCCATGTAAACCATGCTTGCTAGCCAATGGTGCATGCTATTTTAGTCCATCATGTTAGCATCTTTTGGCCATGCTCTAAACTAGAAATGTGTATATTTTGGGACTGTCTTGGCTCGGTCTTTTGACTTCATGATCAAATAATGCTTGTTTTGTATACTTGCAATTCAATACATGTGCCTAACTTTGAATTTCAGGGCTTATTTCATGCATCGGGTGCCTTATTTCCATGTTTCGGGATCGTCTAGCATCATGTTTCAGTGCTGGAAATTACATGTTTGTATGTCATCTTTCATCCCTTGCCATGCTTTGGTAGAGTGGCATTTTATGTCTCAGGTTCGGTCCTCAGTATACGTGCACGTGTGCACGCATTTCGGTTATCTCTTTTCCATCTAATGGCCACTGATGTGAGTGTGGCTGAGGTCCACTCATATTGGTGTAAGTCCATCGTGCATTGTGTATGCCATTTCAATCCATAGCATTGCGTATGCTAGGTTGCATCTTAGAGCATTGTGTATGCCATATTACATCACGCGCATTGTGTATGCCATTTTAGTACAGAGCATTGCGTGTGCTAGGTTGCATGTTAGTCGCATTGTGCATGCCATTCCATTTGCATGGTGCTTGGAATAGGGTTTAGTCCAAGCACGGGAAACGAGGGGCGTTTCGTACTCCAAGTGACGAAACGTGCCTCGATTCCCGGTCCCCGACATTCTTGATTATCTATGATAAAATTGTTGGCTTCATATGTTCATACCTGCATTCATGTCATATTAAAACGTGCAATTCAGTCTCTCAGCCATCATGCATCGAGATGCGTGATTGGTGGCTCGAGAACCGAGGGCCACACTCCCTAGAGCATGTGCAAGGACGGGGAGGAGTGGTCGCGCACACATATGTTGAAAATACATTGTTTTCTCTCTTTCTTGCCTTTGTTGCAAAAAAACCGGAGTCCAGGGGCAGAAAGTGGTCGGCCGACCAGGTTTTCTAGTAGGCCGACCACCTTTTTTGGTTTTCACCATGAGGGGTGGTCGGCAAGTGTTTCCCAAGCCAAGAGTTGGCCGGCAGCCTTCCCCAGGTGGAGTTTCAGCCTCCTGGAGCTTTGTGTAAGTTTTTAAAATCAGCTGCAAACAATGGCGAGACAAGGCATCGCGATGGAATTTACCGACAAAGCGCATCGAGCATGCATGTATTCATTGTCATCCAAAACAGAGCCGGGGCAGTCCATTTGCATGCCAGTTTATAGCTTACTTAGCTAATTTGTTAGTTAGTTAGTGGATGTGCAATAATTAGCTGTACTATTCAGTCGGACTGTATTATTTATTCGGACCCTCCGAGCGAGGGCACAATTGTAATAAGTGTGCGTGCATGTGATGTATGTCTTCCAACCCCACGTCTTTCTCCCTTTTATTTACCTGCTTATGATGGTTAGATTAGGGCATGTTTCAATTAGCATACAGTATGATAGCATGTTTGCATCTATTCATCTGCCTTGCATGCACCGGGCTCGGCACATCATACTAACTGTATTTGTATTTCAATTCCGAGTTGAATACATGTTATCCGTCGCATTTCATATGCCATGTTTAGAATAGCCAAGCCTATTGTAGTTGCATTTTTGCATGTGTTGCATTAGGCATTTCTGTATAGTTAGGATCATGCATGGATTTCTAACATAGCTTTTGTTTTGGCTTGGAGTGCTCGGTAAGTGTTTTTGCTTTAGCATCCTTGCATGCGTGTGAGTGACTGCCATGATAGCATGCTTACCATGAGGCTAAGTGCTTATATGATATAACTGTCTAAATGCCTGTGGGTGAAGGTTGGGTTATTTGAATTGGAACAATTCATTAATTGTGAGTTTTAAGTCCACTAGATAGTGGCAAAATCATGTTTTCTAAGCCCACCTAAGGGTGGCAAATCCACATTTTAGCCTACTTGCGAGTAGTAAACCGTTTTCAAAACAAACATGAAATGTTTTGTTCCAATTCAGGTGACCCAGTCTATACTTGTATGCTGTGCGCATCACGTAGTAAATCTAGGCTAATAATCGGAATAAGAACGCATAATGTTTTCAAAACTCGATATCATGGTTAGTAAAGGCCGATCTTTGATCGGACGAGCGGGGGTGCTCACGAAGTGACCTTCCCCAATCGTACCCAAGTTCCCGAGCCGAGACAACTTTAGTGATGACGGACACGTGGCCTTAGGCAATGAGTTAGGATTTCCTAAATTTCCCAAAATAAAATATTTAGGTGGCGACTCTGTATCTGGCAAAGCAGTCCATGATTTGACACTTCTTTCAAAAAATCTGTTTTCAAAAACGATTTGCCGGATTTTGGACTCTTTGATGATTTCATCAGTCTTGCATTGCACTCTGCGAGATTAGATACAGGACCGTGACATTGAGTCCTGAACTGTAGTGAGCCCAATGAACAACACCGCAGGGGGGGGGGGATTTCCTCCCGGGACGTTCGGGGACGTCTACAGTTATGTCCTGCCCTATCCGTGCTGGTCCTGCCTATGCTGAACTCCTTGCTACTATATATTTTTGTTGCTTGTTCTGTATTTTTATTTTATTAGTGTTTCTGTGTGTTGTGACGGTGGAGCTGAAAAATGGGGAGACATATAATGGGCATTTGGTTAACTGCGATACTTGGATGAATATACATCTCCGTGAAGTCATCTGTACCTCTAAGGTCTTTATCCTTTAATTCTGTTCATTTCTTTTGTTCTTCATTATCTACTATCATTGTTTTGTATGGATAAATACATATATACTCGTGTATACATATATATGACATTGCTTTCGTTTTTAAATTCATGATGGGTGCCACTGGAATTCACAATTTAGGATGGAGATCGATTTTGGCGAATGCATGAATGCTATATACACGGAAATACAATCAAGTATCTTCAAGTTCCTGATGAGGTATGATGCGTAGTTTTTGAATTGTCTGCAGATATTCAAGCTACAAATCCTTGCTTTATATCCTATTCTGTTTCTTCACATTGGTGAACACATCTTTAATTGTTTGAGCATTTCAATGTGGATATTATGTTCACCCAACAATTTAATTTGTTATTAATTGGTGATATATTTTGTTTTAATTTGTGGAAGATGTTGCCTTTGTTTTAATTTGTTTTGTTCATTTGGCAGATTTTTTTGATTTAATTTTGTCTATGTTTGTTTGTGTGTGCATAGATGTGTTCTTCTGGCAAAATATGTTGAGTGGGATTTAACAAACCATATGATGTCAAACTTTTTCTATGTGTTTTAGTTTTGAATCCTGAGAATCTGAAAATATTGTGGTGCTTAAAATGTCAAGTTGATGTGGATCTAGACAGATGTGATTTTATGAATTCAGTCATATTTAAATAGAGTAGAATGAACCAAGTTTAAAATGAATTCTTGTTTCCCACTCAGTGACAGATGTATGTGAGAGTGAGAAATCTTAATCAACATTGCATATGGACATAGGGTACTTAAGGAAATTAAAATAAAGGCATTTTGATATATAAAGACATTTGATGTATAGTTTGTATAGTTTCCTAATAGGTTCTCCCCACAATAGGTTCTCCCCAAGCCCATACCAATAGAGGCAGCGCATGGCGAGTTTTTGGCACATCCCCAAGCTTATGTTATTATTGCTAAGTACAAATCAATTTATTTTTGTTACGTGTGCATGTATTCTTTCTGTAACTTGTTTGGTTGATGGACAACAAAATAAAATCAGCTAGTTGAAGCTCAAGGCATTTTTCGCTTGTGAGAAGCTCATTGAGCTATGTTAGCATCTCTTGCAATGGCATTTTCTATTTTATTTAATTTTAAATCTCTAGAGTGATGATGCCCCTCCCCGTCAAAAGAAGAGACGGTTATGATTTTTTTTAGGTCACTTTAAAATTGACTTGTATTTTACTTTTACTTTTACTTTTTGTAGATAATATTTTTAACAGTGGCTAAAATCTGGTTCAATCATGTACTCTCCTATGACATTGTTTCCTACAAATGCCTCAACCAACAAGAGTCTTAAAATGGTGTGAAAACTCACAGGCACTTCATAACCATCCATATAAGTAGTCATTTTCTACAGGTGGAACAGGTCAAGTTAACCTTGAAGCTCATTGAACCTGCCAAAGCAAGTTTGAGCACATCTCCTGATCCATTCTCAGTTTTTGAGTCTTCTCTTATTATTCCTTTGTTTGTGAGAAATGTTATGGCTTCGGTAGTTATGTTTCAAGGATTGGTTGGTATGCCGTATTGTTCAGCTAAGTGGCACTTGGCGAATGACTATGATTCAACTAGGAGTTCACTGAAGTTCTCTTCTTTTACCTAAAGAGAAGAAGGGCTGCATATTAAATGTTTGAATTGACCTAATGCGTTGTTATTCATCGGTTTTCTAGGTTTTTGATAAAGTTCAGGAGGAGACAAAGAGCCGTGCAGGTATGTACAACACTTTCCTTTTTATTCAGCATACCGTCTCTCTTAGCTTTTGAAACAAATGTTTTTCTTGTAAACTCTGCTTAGCTTTAACTGTGAGTTCAATTAGTGATGCGAGTATCAATTCAAATGCTTGAAAGAGATCAATTGGTAGCACGAGACTTCCGGTTTGAAAACTAAGTCGAAAAAGGCACTTTTTCCACACTTAAGCATGAAAATAGGCCATTGGGGCCAAAATAGTGTAATAGTCACGATAAGACCCGAGGAACACCTCAAACACCTTGAGAGGGACCAATGTAAGTTGTGAAAACTTACGGAACTAGCACGGGACTCCCGGTTTGAAAACTAAGTCCAAAAATACACTTTTTCACACGTAAGCTTGAAAATAGGTCATCAGAGGTCAAAATCGTGTAACAGTCACGAGACGGCCCGGGAAACATCTCAAACACCTCGGGAGGAACCAATGTAAGTTGTGAAAACATACAGAACTAGCACGGGAATCCCGGTTTGAAAACTAAGTCAAAAAATGCACTTTGAAAATAGGCCATTGGGGGCCAAAATAGTGTAACAGTCACAAAAAGGCCTGGAAAATACCTCTAACACCTCGAGAGAGACTAATGTAATTTGTGAAAACTTACGAAACTAGCACGGGACTCCCGGTTTGAAAACTAAGTCAAACAATGCACTTTTTTCACACTTAAGCTTGAAAATAGGCCATCGGGAGCCAAAATCGTGTAACAGTCACTAGAAGGCTTGGGGAACACCTCAAACACCTTGGGAGGGACCAATGTAAGTTATGAAAACTTACAAAACTAGCACGGGACTTCCGGTTTGAAAATTAAGTCTAAAAACGCACTTTTTTCACACTTAAGCTTGAAAATAGGCCATCGGAGTCTAAAATTGTGGAACAGCCACGAGACGGCCGGGGGAACACCTCAAACACCTCGGGAGGGACTAATGTAAGTTTTGAAAACTTACGGAACTAGCACGAGACTTCCGGTTTGAAAACTAAGTCCAAAAATGCACTTTTCCATACATAAGCTTGAAAATAGGCCACCGGAGGCCAAAATCGCGTAGCAAGCATGAGACGGCCTGGGGAACACCTCAAACATCTTGAGACAGACCAATGTAAGTTTTGAAAACTTACGGAACTAGCACGGGACTCCTAGTGCGAAAGCTAAGTCCGAAAATGTCCTTTTTAACACTAAAGCTTGAAAATAGGCCATTGGAGGCCAAAATCATGTAACAGCCACGAGACGGCCCGATGAACACCTCAAACACCTTGGGAGGGATCAATGTAAGTTGTGAAAACTTACAGAACTAGCACAGGACTCCCGGTTTGAAAACTAAGTCCAAAAATACACTTTTCCACACGTAAACTTGAAAATAAGCCATCGGAGGTCAAAATCGTGTAACAACCACGAGACAGCCCGGGGAACATCTCAAACACCTCAGGAGGGACCAATATAAGTTGTGGGAAACTTACAGAGCTAGCATGGGACTCCTGGTTTGAAAACTAAGTCAAAAAATACACTTTTCTCACACTTAAGCTTGAAAATAGGCCATCGGAGGCCAAAATCATGTAACAGTCACAAGAAGGCCTAAGGAACACCTCAAACACCTCGAGAGAGACCAATGTAAGTTGTGAAAACTTACAGAACTAGCACGGGACTCCCGGTTTGAAAACTAAATTTAAAAATGTACTTTTTTCACACTTAAGCTTGAAAGTAAGCCATTGGAGTCCTAAATCGTGTAACAGCTATAAGACGTCCCGGGGAGCACCTCAAACACCTTAGGAGGGACCAATGTAAGTTTTGGAAACTTACAAAACTAGCACGGGACTTCCGGTTTGAAAACTAAGTCCAAAAATGTACTTTTTTACACGTAAGCTTGAAAATAGGTCATCGGATGTCAAAATCGTGTAACAGCCATGAGACGGCCTGGGGAACACCTTAAACACCTCGAGAGGGACCAATGTAAGTTGTGGAAACTTACGGAACTAGCACAGGACTCTTGGTTTGAAAACTAAGTCTAAAAATGCACTTTTTCATACTTAAGCTTAAAAATAGGCCATCGGAGGCCAAAATCGTGTAACAGCCACGAGACGGCCCGGGAAACACCTCGAGAGGGACTAATTTAAGTTGTGAAAACTTACGGAACCAGCACGGGACTCTCGGTGTGAAAACTAAGCCAAAAAATGCACATTTTCTATCTCTTAAGATTGAAAATAGGCCATCGGAAGCCAAAATCGTGTAACAGCCATGAGACGGCCTGGGAAACAACTCAAACACCTCAAGAGGAACCAATGTAAGTTGTGAAAACTTACAGAACTAGCACGGGACTCCCGGTTTGAAAGCTAAGTCTAAAGATGCCCTTTTTCACACTTAAGTTTGAAAATAGGCCATCAGGGGGCCAAAATTGTGTAATAACCATGAGACGGCCCGGGGAACACCTCAAACACCTCGGGAGGGACCAATGTAAATTGTGGAAACTTACAGAACTAGCACAGGACTCCCAGTTTGAAAACTAAGTCCAAAAATACACTTTTTCACACGTAAGCTTGAAAATAGGCCATTGGAGACCAAAATCGTGTAACAACCACGAGACGGCCGGCGAACACCTTAAACACCTCGAGAGGGACCAATGTAAGTTGTGAAAACTTACGGAACTAGCACGGGGCTCTCGGTTTGAAAACTAAATCTAAAAATGCTCTTTTTTACACGTAAGCTTGAAAATAGGCCATCGGAGGCCAAAATCGTGTAATAGCCACGAGATGGCCCAGGAAACACCTCAAACACATTGGGAGGGACCAATGTAAGTTATGGAAACTTACGGAACTAGCACGGGACTTCCAGTTTGAAAACTAAGTCCAAAAATATACTTTTTCACACGTAAGCTTGAAAATAGGCCATTAGAGGCCAAAATCATGTAACAGCCACGAGACGGCCCGGGAAACACCTCAAACACCTCTGGAGGAACCAATGTAAATTTTGAAAACTTATGGAACTAGCACGGGACACCCGGTTTGAAAAGTAAGTTAAAAAATGTACTTTTTCACACGTAAGCTTGAAAATAGGCCATCGGAGGCCAAAATCGTGTAACATCCATGAGACGACCTGGGGAACACCTCAAACACCTCAGGAGGGACCAATATAAGTTGTGGAAAATTATGGAGCTAGCACGGGACTCCCGGTTTGAAAACTTAGTCCAAAAATGCACTTTTTCATACTTAAGCTTGAAAATAGGTCATTGGAGGCCAAAATCGTCTAACACCCACGAGACGGCCCTGGGAACACCTCAAACACCTCGAGAGGGACCAATGTAAGTTGTGAAAACTTACGGAACTAGCATGGACTCCCGGTATGAAAACTAAGTAAAAAAATACACATTTTCCAACTCTTAAGCTTGAAAATAGGCCATCGGGGGCCAAAATCATTAAACAACCATGAGAACGCCCGGGGAACACCTCAGTCACCTCAGAAGCAACCAGTATAACTTTGTAAACTTACGAAACTAGCACGAGACTCTCGGTTTGAAAACTAAGTTCAAAAATGAATTTTTCCAACACTTAAGCTTGTAAGTAGGCCATCGGAGGCCAAAGTCGTGTAACAGGCATAGGAAGGCCCGGGGAACACCTCAAACATCTCGGGAGAGACCAATGTAAGTTGTGGAAACTTACGAAACTAGCATGGGAATCTCGATTTGAAAACTAAGTCAAAAAATGAATGTTAAATTGTATATTTAATTGATAAGATAACAATTGTCTAACTTGTATTCTTTTTTTTTTTTTTTTTTTTTTTTTTTTTTTTTTTTTTTTTTTTTTTTTTTTTTTTTGCAAATTCGAGATTTGATATGGACATGTTTGGTAATTTGGAGAGTAGAATCTAGCTCATTTTGTGTTTTTGTTCATATTACCTTACATGTATTTTGGTTGCATTGGAAATTTTATAATTTTGTTGGTATTACATAACATGTTTGGTAATCCGCGCTTGATATTATATTTTCGTTGATATGAGTAGACATGTTTTTTGTAGATATTAGGAGATGTGTTTGGTAATCTGCATGCGGTTGATATTGTATTTTTATGGATATTAGGAGACATGTTTGGGGATGCATGCAGTTGATATTGTATTTTTGTGGATAGTGCTGAAATTTGATTGTGATGTTTATAAAAATGAATAGATTTTTGTATTGATCTGTAATATATATTTTATTGAACAGGTTATTGAAATGCACAGGGAATTTTTAGTGAAAACAAAAATTTTAATTTGAAAATAGTACCCCCATTAAAAAAAAAATTAATTATTATTAGCGACGAAACAAAAAATGTTGCTATTAGTTTTCAAAAAACATGACGAGTAATTTTGTCACTAATGATATAGTACCAAACAAATAATTTCGTCACATTTGCTCAATATTTCGTCACTAAATTAAAATATTTTGTGACAAAATGTTTTTTGTCATTGAAGAATTTTCTTTTCTGCTCATTTTAGTGATGAAATTTTTTTTCACCTTAATCTATATCATTGGTGAGGAAAACTTTCGTTACTAAAATCTATTTGGTGACGAAATATTTCATCGCCAAAAACAATTAAAATAAAATATTATCTAATTTTAGTAACGAAATTGATGTTATAGAGGACAAAAAATGTAACATTTGGAGACGAAAAATTTCGTCGCCAAAAATGAAAAATAAGCAACAAAACTGTTTTTCGTCACCAGGTACTTTCAACGACAACGTATAGACGACAAACATGGTGACAAAATTTTTTCGTCACAGATCACTTTAGTGACGAAAATTTGATGTTTGGAGATAAAATCAGTCTGTCACCAAACGTCTTTTTTGTTGTAGTGATACTAGGAATCTCTAGATAATTGTTTTTTAGTAAGCTATACAAGCACTACCAAAACCATTTTACCGATTCTAACTGGACGGATCGGCACCTAACTGTGCAGGTTTCTAGACTTTTACCCATGACACACATACCAATAATATAAACGACAGCCACACCCCCTAACCAGATTCATCAAGGTATACATTCTTTTTTTCTCGAAAACAATAGATTTTCAATGTTTAAGTATAAAATAATGCTCAATGCACACTATATGAGAAAGTAGTTTCAATCCAACCTAATCC